TAAATCAGCAAGGGCTTCAAGCCCCCCCCCTTGGGTCAGGGGTTGGACCCTTGTATCTTCAGGGTGTTCCCCAACTGCTGGCGGATAGACTTCTGTCATTGTCCCCTCTTAGGGACTGTTAGGGAAGCCCAGGCCCACCCTTTCCACCAGGTTCCAATCTAGGGCCCGGTAGTAGGCAGCTAAGTCCTGTACCTTGGGGTGCTATGCGTCTGCCTCTCTGGATCACTTCTTACCAGTGTCCCCTTTTCTCACAGGTAAAGAACTGAATATAAAAATAAAGTTTCTGACCTTCAAAAGTCACCAGCCCCTCCTTTACAGCCCCTCTGATTCAGGTCAGTATCACCAGGCAGCAGTGATGTGGTGTGACTTGATCCCTGTCTGCCTACCTCTGAGCTACTTTGCTTCCCTTTTTTAAGCTCTGCCTCCAGCTTGTGCAGGTGTGATGGGGCAGGGCTGCTTAGGTCCAGAGCAGCTCCTTAACCCCTTCTTCTCCAGTGTGGGGTTTGTACATCTCACCACAGGCACTTAACCTAGTATTAATTGGATTGGCTTATTATAGAGTAATTGGATCCATATTAAATAGATTCAGGGCCTTACTTTAGGCTTCGAAATTTGAAAATTTTGATCTAGTGGTTTACCTGCAGTCACTAAGGAAATCTCTGGTTTGGAGCTGAGAATACAATTCAGGCCTCCAGAAATCTAGTTTTGAGTTCCTCCTTTGTCAGACTTCACTTCTGAACGTGGGTTGGAACAACAGAAAAGTTCCTGTATATCTGTCCGAAAGTCTGAATTTGGGAAGCCTTATAATAGAAAACTGATTACATCTGTTAATGGCATTTATATACTTCTAGCTCATCGTCAGTTGTTGAAACTGAAAATGTTCATGGTGGAAATATTTTTCATGCAGATGGAATAGGAATATAACCCAGAAGATAGGGTTTTGACAATTTTTGTTTCATGGTTTGATTACTAATAAATATTACGGGCCTGGTTCTGGGCTAATTTTTACCTGTGTAAACCAGGAATACTTATCAGTTCAGTTATGCTGGTGTAAAACCAGTTTGTATAAGAGCAGAATGAGTCCATAAATGTGTTTAACATCTTTCATCCCAAAATGTTTTACAAATGTAACAAAATGATATACAAACTAGGGGGCTGCTTCTGCTCCATTGGAGTCAATGGGGCCTTTGCCATTGACTTTAGTGGGTGCAGGATCAAGCCATATAGGGGGAGATTTTTCAAGGCATAAATGGCAGGAAGGGACCTAATTTCCATTGGAAGTCAGTAGTCAGTGCTGAGGCATTTGTTCAGTACTGATTTTAAGGGACAAGTATCACCTACCAAACCACAAATGCCACTTTCTGCGGCACTTGGTTTTCCATTGAGGTCTCACTCCAAGTACTAACTAGACTTGGAGTGAGACAATGAGGACTAGACAATGAGGCCTAGCTTGTGAGAATACAGAGTTGCCCTGCACCAGGTGGAATGGCTGCATGTGCATTTTAACCATTAGCCTGTGCAGGTTTTGTCAGCTAATATAACAACCCTGGGCCAGGCCATTCCCTTCTGTACAAAAATACCTGGAAAGGAGAAAGATGTTTAAAACCCCATACACTTTGGTGGAGGGGAAAATTGATGCATGTTTCACTCTGAGGACTAGCTCAGAAACTATTCACCACAGACATATACATATATAAACTGTACAAATTGAATCCTGCTTTACTTTTTAATTGGACAGTTTATTTCATTTCAAATCACTGACAGTCTGTTTCCCAGCTGAAACTAATGACACTTTCATAACATATGAAAGCCGTTGTCCTATTGTTTAGGCACAAACTTTGACCATTCTTAAAGATATTATAATAATATTGTTGGGACTATCCTCAGAAGCTATATATTACGGAACAGTAGCAGATACTCCACAGTTAAGGTTGCAACCCAGTTTCCATGATAAACTCTATTTTTCACCCCTCTCTAAAATCTGCAAACAAAGGTTTATCAGAGTGAAAATGGTAGACTGCTTCTAGGCCCAAGGTAGAATTTCCCCACCCACTTCCATGAAACTTCAAAAGGGGTTCTGAAGTTATAGTCCCACCAAAATTTGGCAGGTGCTCAGAGTTTGAAAGTACAGCCTTAAGCTACTAGGCTTGTCTTCACTACGGGGAGATCGACTCTGCTGCAATCAATGCAGCAGGGGTCGATTTAGCGAGTCTAGTGAAGACAGTTGTAAGTGAAGATTTGCACCCTTAGACTTTAGAACCAGTTTTACCATGGGGAGATCTTGCCGAAGACAGAAGTTATCTTCTTGTATTTCCAAATAGACCTGAAGGTCCAAATCCTGACCTGATGTGGCCAGGCAAAAATACACTGAAGTTAATGGGGTTGCAGGAATAAATTTGACCTGGGCAGCCAATTAGAGATGGAAAGAAGGGAGCTAGGTTTAATCTCATCCAGAAAAGATATTTCACATTTCATGATAAGGATTTTGCACAACATTAACAATCAGATGGTAAGCTCTTTGACCATGACTTTTGATATATTTGTACAGCGCCTATTCACAATGGGGGGGCCTCAATAATTTAACAATATTTAAGGCCAATGTAAAGGAGATGATATAAGATGCTTTCTGAAATCAAGCTATCATCTGTTTTTTGTTAACAGAATAGCCATTTGTGTCAGAAGTATAAACTGGAATTGAAAAAAGATCTCTGAGCTTTCCACAAAAATATTTAAGTTGAGCTTTACAAACCTGCCTAGGAGTAATCAATCTATTAAAATTAATGGGCACTTGGCATCCAGATCCCCTGGGTGGCTTTGAAAACTTTGCTATATGTAAATGGTTTTACTGTATTCAACTCCTGATTATTTTGCATCTGATGAAACCAAGTTTACCATTAGAGAATGAAGACCATTTAACAAATAAGGCCCAATCCTGCAAATATGATGGGTGTGGACAGTCCTGTGCCCATCCAGAGACTACTTTCTTTACTGGGGCTCCACATGAGCACAGGGGTCTGTCCCTATGCGTCACACTGCCGGGGTGGAGCCTGGGTAGGGTCTAGAAAGGGGGACACTGATTGCAGTACCAGCAGTCATTACCACATGGGAACTGGAGAAACGCATGAGCATACTCTGTTTTAGTATGCTACAAAAATTAATCATTGACATTTATTAGGTACTTTAATACTAAGCATATATTAAAGTAACAAAAATTATTGTAGTAATTTTATTTCAGTTTAGTTTTTTACAGAAAGTCAGGTATTCCAACAATTTTCTTTACAGTTTGTTGACTTTAAAAAAAATTACACACATTTTTGACATTACAGTGGAATGGAATGGGAAAGCGTTCACCTTTAAAAAGATAAAAACATACTACTTATACTTAATTAACATTTAGTGATGTACATCCTTGTAACTTTTTGCTTTATTTATCTACATATGGTACATTTTAATTGAAATAGTAGAGCCACAAGGTCTTGTGATGACACATTTTTGCAACATTTGTATGTCTAAAGTGGGCTTTTTCGTTATACAGTCACTATGATGCAAAACTCAGTAGGCAGTAACAAAATTGCATGGCACAGAGAAACCCAATTAATGCAGTTTCTATTGCAGGAAAAAATATCATGACTGCAGTAATCTGAGAATACAATGTAACCCCTGGAGCAAATGATTACAACGATACTGTAGCACATTCAGGTAAACCTCTTTACAGACTTCTGAGATAAAGTGTGCCTATGATATATCAACACTGGTAAATGACAACAAGCTTTATTAAGACCCCATTTAGCAAGGTAGGCCTAAATGTGCCTAACTTTGAGCATGTGAGTTGTCCCATTGATTTCAGGGGGATTGCTCACATGCTTAAATACCTTGCTGAATTGGGGCCTTAATGAGCTTCCAAACCCACCCATGTAAGTCACTTATGTTATACCCTTCCTCTTTATTTTGGTGACAGAGACTAGGAATAGATTTATGTTGGATGACAACTTTTGGGTGTGACTTTCAAAAGTGCTCAGCATCCACTGAAGTCAAACGAAACTCCCATTGGCTACAATGGATGCAGACTTGGGCTAAGGGACAGAGTGTTTGAAAATCCCACCCAAATTTATCTGTAAACGTATTTGGCAAGCATATATGTTAGGTGTGCAGTTACTATGGTGATCAGGGCCATATAAGTACCTTGACAGACAGCTAACATTGCTATTTAATAACTAGTCATTATTTATTGACAATTTGGTCACAGACATTGTCTTCAGCCAAAGAAGCATAACTGAGATTCATGCACTTAGATGCAGAAGAGTTTTGTTTTGCAGTGACTCATTTACAACCGGAAGTTAAAATCCTGTTTTATCTCTGTACCTCTTCAAGAGCTATTTGTTATTGGGGCCTGTAATAATAATCAATTGTTATTCTAGCTTCTTTTTCTGAATGCCAGCAAGTATCATAGTGGCCTTCCAAATCTTCTGAACTTAGAATTGCTTCAGGAAATAATACAAAGGCTGCTCACTTCTAAAATACTCCTCTCTAGAATAATTATCTGCTCACATTCCAGGCCTCAGACTGCTCTTACTATTCAATTGCTTTCCAGAATGAGTTTGCTTGGCAAGGAACCTTATGAATAGCAACAAAATGTTGCACAGAAGTCAGAATAACTCGGTGGTAATATGCCTCTCACACCACATAAGCAAAATAAAACGTGAAGGGCCACAGTCACTGCTGTGCTCCAGCTGCATCACACCACACAAAGCAGCCAGAGCATAGCAGTGAATCTGGCCCAGGGCTTTTACATAGTTTTCTGTAAAATGTACCTGTTTACTAGTCAGATTCATAGATTGTAAGGCCAGATGGGACCATTAGATCATCTTCTCTGACCTCCTGTAGAACACAGGCCACTGGATTTCATTTAAGTGATTATATGACATAGAACAGGAAAAAATACAAAAGTGCTTAACTGCAGCTGTGTGTTACATTTCAGGTGTCAAGTAATTTCACCCCTCCCTTTTCTTTTTGTAAATAAGTGGTTTTATTTTGCCACCTTAAATAGGAGCAAGTCTATGTTGCATGAGAATCAACAGTATTATGACATTCAGAAAGATGAAACTTATTGTATATATGCCTTCACAGAACTACAATATATGTCAGAAATAATTCTTCAGTTATAAGTTTGTTACAGACATAAATTAAACAGAGGACATATGCAGTAAAAATTGAGAAGCTTTACATTTTTAACCAATGTATTATACAGTGAAATAAACAAAGTGCAGAAATGCTGCAGTAAAAGTTATACTTTTTCCTCTAGGAGATGGAAACATTCAGAGTCTATTTATAAATGCTTATTTAAGAGTGATGTCCTATCAGTTTCCTGGCTACTGGAACAGAAATAGTCTTGAGTTAACTGTCTCTCTCTACTGTGAAAGGTTTTAAAGCTTTTTGCTTTTCAGTTGAATAAAAAAATGAGTTTACAAACCTTTTCAATGCATATATTACATAAGTTTTACCTAGCAACAACTACATCCCTTTTAATTTATTCCCTAAATGTGACTTTTCATGCATGTCTTCTGAATGCTGTATTCAGTGACAGTTTCTAATGAGCTGGTGTGTAATCCATGATTGCATCTCTCTTCAGAAAATCACTTCCATGCCTGGCTGATCTATGTTTAGAAGGCAGCTCTTACCAATCAGGCATTTTTGCACTTGTCAACATTCTTCTCCATTGAAGGCTCCTCAAGCTTCTTTCCATTTAATGTTGATGTACAAAAGCAGTTACTCATTTTGTTTTGTGCTCATTCTAGTGAGGATTGGCTTAGCAGGACTGTGCAAAACAGAGAGAAGAGAGAAGTCAGTTTATTGCCAGCAGTCATTGCTACTGTGTTTGGCACAGTGCTATCTTCTGATCAATACTCTAAATACATTTCACTATTTTGATTTCCATTCATTATAAAAGATAACATTGGTCATCAACTTTAATCTCCAACTATCACAGTGATTTGTAGGGTGGAATCTTTGAAAATCAGTTTTGATCTATTAATCAACAAGGAAAGTCAAAATAAAGGGGTTGTTTCATCTGAAGGCTGAACAGTGGGAACACAAAGATGCCGCATGTACTGGGTGAGAGTCACATTTGTTTGAGTAATATGAGGAATCAAATCAAGGTCCTGAGATTTCTTGTCAGTATTTATGATTTCCTTCAAATGCCTGCATACACAAACCTCATTTAAAAAAAAAATAAAGTTAGTCTGGTAGATTTCAGAGGGACAGTCCCCAAAGATAATAGAGATGTTTTCAACACATATCATCATCCATCATGCACTGGTATGCCCCTCCCTCCCTCCCCCACCATTATTTTCAATACCACATAAACATAAATTCATGTTCAGGGCAAAAAAGGAACGACTGCAGTAATACTATGAATAGGCTGCCACTGTAGAAAGCCTCCTCCCCTCCCTTTATGAAATCTATTGCATTTAAATTAGGAAAAAATCCCAGGGTACTGTGCACAGAAACCATGGCATAGCTGATGTGTCACATGACCTTAAGCCATGGACTGGTATGTCTCTCCACTGCTGCTGTTGTGAAGGCCCTGTGGAGGGGACATTCTGCTTCCTTTCAGGGCATCCAGATGTAGGACAGCCATCTTCTGCAAGATCCCCCTCCAACCATACAGGCTTGTGTGTTGTTCTCCTGATATGTGTGTATGTGGAAAGTAGGTCAGTATTTGTCCCTAAGTTTGAATAAAAAGTTATTGTACAAGTGGAGCTCTACAGATGGATCACTAGCTAAAATTTCCCGGATAACTGGATTATTTAGGCTGAACCTTCAAGTCTCTACTCCAGCAACATCTTCAGTGGCAGGAGTTATGCCTGAGAAAGTATTTAGGCTGAAATTCTGGAAATGAGCACACAGCCTGACTGAAGGGGCTCTGTGCTCAGTTACACATGCATGGGGCTGGAGAACAGAGTCAATGGGACTGATTCATCATTACACTCTGACCCCTTTGTGCCAGCTGTGCTGTGCTGGCACAAAGGTCTGTAAAGCCAATGGATATAGCCCTGGAGACGAGAATTCTCTTGGTGTCACAGCCAGCATAATGCCCCTATGCTATCCCCATCACAGCTCCCAACACAGGGGGGTATGATGGAAGAAATGGGGTGTGACTGGGGCAACACTGCCCTCTAACTATTCTGAGCTGCTGGAATGGCCTCTTGGGGCCATTAGGCAACAAGGCACAAGTCAGAGCAGCCCTGAGGCTGTTCAAACCTGTTCCAGGAACTGAGACTAGGATTGAGGAAAGCCACCTTTGCCACTTCCCCCAGACCTGCACCAAGTGGAGTGTGGTCTCCACCAGGAATCATGCTCAGCTCACATGCTATGTTTCGATGTGTTTTATAAAGAGGACACTTACAATGGCTATTGCTGGAACTAGGCCATAGAAAACAAATGGCACAGGAAGATTATCTATATCTGTGCATAAGGAGAGCACTGGTGGTGATGACTGGACTATTCTCCTTTTTCAGAAAACTAATACACAATTTAGAGTGATCTCTGAGGGAACAATACTTTAATGAATTTGTATACAGTGGGTCTAATAATTTGCCTTTTACAAATGGAAACGATCAGTTACACTCCTCTGAGCAAAGCTTCCTCTTGTTCCCATGAAAAGAATGTGCCAATAGTGAAGGACAAGAAACGCACATATTTCTGATTAAAATAATTAATAATTTGTGCCCCAAGGATCCTAATGCATTTTATAAAGATGGGTAAGTGTCATTATGTAGTCATAGACGATAAAAAAGGTAAAGATCTGTTTCATCATCCCATCTATTTCCTTGTCTGTGAAGTATTCTTCCCCACAGTACCTAGGCAAGCATGTGGTCCAATTTACTGTTAAAATTATCCTCCTTTCACAAATAGAAATACTGATGCTGAGAGAGCTAAATCATTTTCCCACAGCCAAAGAGTGAGTCAGTGGCAGAATCAGGAATAAAACCAGTTTTTTTTGACTCCCCGTCCCCTGCTCGACCCACTCATCACCCTGCCTCTACTACATCTAATAGCTTTGATAGAAAATATATGTGGACAATTACAGATAGATGGCATCACAGAGAAGTTATTTGATATGGGAGGATTATAACAAGGAACATCAAATGTACAGGCCTTAATAATATACTGTGGCACTTCCATGAAAAATTTCAGGTTTGTAGGATTAAATGGAGCATTTAAAAAAAGGGTTTTTATCTCAAGTTATTGTATTTGCTATTCAAAGGCATGACAATATTTAGCATGACAATTATTGGATTTCCAGCAACATTTGAAATTCAGCATTAGGGTTGCAACATATTAACATCTTTATTAGTTCTTCTGCAAAATTTTATATACAGGTGTTATACAGAGGAAAGAGGAAATTTAATAAATGTCACAGATTCCTAGTTAGTGCTGTGCAAAGAGGAAGCTGAATAAATAAGTCATTCATTTTGTTCAGTCTGGTTTGACCTTGTAACATGTCACATGCTTTTGACTTTTTGACGTTTTTTGCATTGGAGTTACCTACAAATCCTTTTCGGAGCAGTCAGGTGAACCAAAATTAATGAAAGCAGTCTCTGTGAAGGCTATATTGTCCAAACTACCTAAATGCAATGCTGTTAGAGTCTCAGTCTATTTGAAGATTTGGAAAGGCTTCACCTCCTGGTGATATTATTGTTCCTACCTGACCCATTCAATTAGGGTACATGCCGATTGTTGGTGATAGAGTTGGTATGCAGTCTCTGCCTGAGGGATTTACACCATTCCAATGTTTATGCATGTTTTCTGAGGGAGCTCATCAATATTTCTTTGGTGTGAAGATGAATAGTAGAGAGCATTGCAGGCTGCTCCTTGCCAAAGTATAAATACACAGACTGAAGTTTCAGATAGACCATAACATGCTTTTATGGCAAGGACAGTCAGATAAACAGCACTTACAGAGAATAATGCAAGAGTCTTCATCCTTCAAAGGCTGAATACATTGCCTTTGCAACAGTCGCAGCACTTACCTGATTAATTCTCTGCAGACATATTTATACAACCTCTTAGCCATTCTTTTGATTGGTAGTCTGAAAAATGTGAGCCTTCTAGGGGTTATTACTTTGCTGTTCTCTCTAAACACTTGTGATTACAAGTATCTTACTAAATTAGAGAGGGGAAGCAAATGACTTTCTTGATGAGGTCAAGACCAATGCTATTCCAAAATCAGATCAGCTGCTAGGAGTCGCTTGAGTAATAAGTGACGGGTAAAATTTCCTCCTCGTCTCACCATAGACCCAAAGTGCTCCACTGACCCATTATTTATGATAATTTATTGAATGCTGGCAGTATATTTGGTGTACTACAGGAGAGAAAGGAAGCTATGGTCACTGTTCTCAGGGGCTTACAATCTAAAATAGACATGCAATACAGTTTGGATACATAAAACACTGGGTGAACAGTAGGGTCGTTCCCGGGTGGATGACACCTTGGATAGCCTGAATGGTAGCTGCTGGTTCTCTGTCCTTGACCTCCGCAGTGGATACTATCAAATGCCCATGTAGAGGACTGGGAGAAGACAGCATTCATCTGCCCCTTAGGGTTTTACCAATTTAATCGCATGCCCCAGAGAGTATCTGGAGCTCCATCCACGTTTCAGCGACTCATGGAGCGAGTGGTAGGGGACATGCACCTGTTAGAGTGTCTGGTGTAGTTGGATGACATTGTAGTATTCGGGCGCACTTTAGAAGAACACGAGACTCAGCTGTGCAAAGTCCTGAATCGTTTGGAACAGGCTGGCCTCAAGTTATCCTTAGACAAGTGCATCTTCTGCCAGACATCTGTGCGGTACATGGGACACATAGTGTCTGCAGATGGTATAGCTATAGACCCAGAGAAGGTGAAGGTGGTAACCATCTGGCCGAGGTCTGCGACTCTCAAGGAATTACAGCTGTTTCTGGGATTCTGTGGCTGTTACTGCAGGTTCATAAAGAATTTTTCGCACATCGGACATGCACTCACAGAGCTCACCAAGGGAATCCCCCCACAAATAAGAAGAAGGGGAACCCACCTCGGCATCAGTACTTTAATGTGGGTGGACCTTTTGGAAAGCAGTGGACTGCTGAGTGTGAAGAAGCTTTCCGTAAAATCATTCAACAGCTCACTCAAGCACCTGTTTTGGTGTACGCTGATCCCACCCAGCCATATGAACTTCATGTCGACGCAAGCTACACTGGTTTAGGCGCTGTCCTTTATCGAGAGCGTGAGGGCAAACTCCGACCGTTAGCATTTGCAAGTCGAGGTCTCACACCACCTGAGAGAAACTACCCTGCTCATCAAGTGGAGTTCCTGGCATTGAAATGGGCCATCACAGAGAGGTTCCATGACTACTTCGATAGGGCCAAGTTCACTGTAAAAACCGATAATAACCCTTTGACATACATCAAGACAACAGCAAAATTACCTGAAAAATCCACGCTTAGCTGCTGCACCACAGAAATCAGAAACTAATGTACATCAGTATACAGGCAGCATCCACACATGTGTATGTGTAATCCATGAGCCTAATAGGGAGATATCTCTTTAAGAGACCCACTGGGGGGAGGTAGGGGTGAGCCTACCATGTGGGCCGTTGTTGCTAGGCAGATTAAGCACTCCACATCCAGAAGCTTCTGGAATTGGGTGTGGTAGTTTTGAGACTGCTCCAATAGGTTCCCTGTTGCTGGGGTCAGACTCCATGAGGGCAAGCAGTGAGGGCAGCTGCTTTGCAGAAGGCCATGTGCCCTGTGTGAATTGGGAAAAGCTGAGCTGAGA